AGCAAGTAAGAAGACATTGCATAAAGCTCTGAAATAAAATAAAGAATTTGGAATCAAGCATGTAGATTGCTTACTGTTATTGATAGGGATATGGCTAATTTAAAATAAAGTGCTCTAAAGAAAAATTCCATTACTGAAAATCTACTGGGCTTTAGAAACTTTGAATGACTGCCAACAGTCTACAGAAATTGTCATGGTGTACAGTAGTTTCCAAAAAAACCTAATTTATCTTTTGCTTGAAGAATCTTACTATATTTCTGACTTTCTTTGTGCTTTATATATTTGCCTTGATTAATTAAGGCTCTTCAGTACAGGGCCTACTTGCATTCTTAAACTGAGACACATTCAAATACCTTGCTACACTGCAGCTCTGGTTTGTAAAATGGATGCTCATAAAAAAATGCTAAATTAGTAGGAACTGTTAGCAGAACAGGAAGTGTTCATGCAATAATGTTCTAAATATAGAATAATAAACAGGAAACAGTAACAAAAAAACAGCTGTGGTCGCAGACAGGTTTCCGTATATCATGACATCCCACAAGGCATGGAAATATGGGATGGTTAAGCAGTATGCTATACATAAGCATACAGTTACAGCAGTCATTCTGCAGGTGCATTTGACTTCTATTATTTTTCACAAATGTGTTTTATTCCTGGATTGTGATATACTAACCCCTTAAAAACTTATTTACAGAACAAAAAAATTTAAAAAGTTATGGCAAGTGAAGTCTCTAAAATAACACAGGCAAAAATTGGCTCAAAGGCCAGCTTACACAAAAATAAAAAAACAAAATGTCTCATTATGATGATAATCCCACTGCAATTAAAAGTTATTTTGAGATTATCATCACTTACATTTGAGCCACACCATGAAGTGGTGGCATCAATGAACAAAGAAGGACAGTGTCATCTACCTGTACTTCTGCAAGGCATTCAACATGGTCCTGCACCACATTCTTATCTCTAAATTGGAGAGATATGGACTTGAAGGGTGAACTATTACGTGGATAAAAAATAAGTTGGATGATCATAGCCAAAGTGTTGCTGACAATGGCTCTAGGGCCAGGTGAAGGCTGGTCACAAGTGTTGCCTCTCAGGGGTCCATCTTGGGACCAGTGCTCTTCAACATCTTTATCAATGACATAGTGGGACTGACTGTACCTTCAGCAAGTTTGCTGATGACACCAAATTGAGTGGTATAGTTGATACAACAGAAGGGAGGGCTCTGGACATGGTTGAAAAGTGGGAACGTAAGGTTCTATGAGGTTTAGCAAGTCCAAGTGCAGATATTGCATTCAGACAATTCCAGATACAAGTAAAGACTGAGAGAAGAGCTCACTGAGAGTAGTCTTTCAGAGAAGGACTTGGGGATCCTGATGGATGAAAACCTTGTCACAAGCCAGCAGTGTGCTCTTGCAAACCAGAAGGCCAACTGTATCCTGGGCTGCACAAGAGGGATGGCCAGCAGGACGTGAGAAGTAATTGTCCCCCTCTGCTCTGCCCTCATGAGGACCCATCTGGAGTATACTGAGTCCAGGCCTGGGGCCAGTGGCACAAGAAAGATGCAGAGAGGGTACAGAGGAGAGCATGAAGATGATCAGAAGGCTAGAGCATCTCTCCTATGAAGAGAGTTGGTCTTCTCTAGCTTAGAGAAGAGAAGGCTCCAGGGAGACCTCACTGCATCATTCCAGTACTTGAAGGGACCGTATAAGCAGGAGAAGAACTGAGCTTTTACAGTCTGACAAGGTGGAATGGCTTTAACAAAAAGAGAAAAAAAAATAGGTTAGATGTTAGAAAGAAACCTTTCACTCAGAGGGCAGTGAGGCACTGGCACAAGCTGCCCGGAGAAGCTGTGGTGCCCCATCCCTGGAGGCTCTCAAGGCCAGGTTGGATGGGGCCCTGGGCAGCCTGAGCTGGTGGGGGGCAGCCCTGCCCATGGCAGGGGTTGGCATTAGATGATCTCTATAGTCCCCTCTAATCTAATCCATTCTATGATTCTGTGATTCTGAATCAGCTTCTGTGCCAAATCCCTTGAATTTAAGAGCCTTCATGCTAAAATTAAATTCTTATTCTGTAATTTAGGACTTTATTAAGTGGGTTTATTTTCAAAGGTAATAAAAGATGGAAGGAACTTCCTCAATCAAAATGTCTGTTGGGTCAGCACATCACAAATTAAAATTGATGCATAAACAGCTATTTTAGGCCCATGTTTGAAAGCGTGGATTATGTTAATTAAATCTAGAATTTTTCTATCTAAACTAGATAGAAAAGATTTGATTTATTTAAGTAAACATATTTATATGGAAGTAATTAAAATTCAAAAAAAAAAAAAAAAAAAAAAAAAGCCTAAATTAGAAACTGACAGAAACAGACTACTTATACTCTGAATATCCTTTTGGCTCCCAGTGTCAAAGAATTTTCATTTGCTTGTGTTCAAACATGCAAAGTGCTATTTGTGTTTGGTCAGGAGTTCAGGACATGTCATTAGTGTTACAACTTTCCATAAAAATAGATATACTTTTCTTACTAAACAAAGAGGAAGGAGATGCTAACCTCAACAACCTGCAATATAAATCACACTGTGCCTGTGTGATTTATTGTTCAAAACAGTAAATTGTTCAAATTTATTTGTTCAAACAAACAATTGTTTAAACAAACAATTGTTCAAATCTTTGTCCCTTAGATACGACTAATTCTGAAAATAATACCAGACCCAACAGTTTTTCCTCTTCCTGAAAGTGAATAAATAATAGTGCAGTACATTAGATACTGTTAATGACTCGGAAATTATCTTCTCTTTTTCTCTCATAATGTTTTTTGTAATGTCATGGAGCAGTTTCAGAATTACACTGTGTTCATTGTGTTCATTGTGTTCATTGACCTGGTCAGTATCTGCTGTACAAAAACTAAATACAAGGTTCCCCTTGTGAATCATTTCCTGTCCTGTTCATGTAGCTACAGATCATAGCTCAGACCAATACTGTTGGGCCAACTGAGAGATTCCTAAAGATAGCACTGTTCAGGATAGTCTTAGAAGAGAGTTTCTGCTGTAAAATGTCATGGCTGTCATCTCCATGTCATCCATCTTGTTAGTATGTAATCAATACTTGTGAAATTCTGTGTACTAGTCATTTACGTTCTCCCTTCTACACCAAAACAAAATGAAAGGTAAGCAACCCCAAAATAAACCACAAAGATGTGATGGAGTAACTCTGAAATTCAACAAAATGCCTTTCTTGTCTTAGAAACCCAAACCAACACTGTGTGATTTCTAAATGATGTTCTGTCAGGGCATACAAAACAGAGAGCCACAAAATAGCTAGACAACAAAAGTCCTTATCCTGTAGACTATGATTAGGCAAGATCTGAAAGCACTTCAAAGAAACTCATTAGCTTCCCTTTATCACATAGCCCCTTTCAACTAGGCATGTGTACATGTTTAAAGTTTTCCTATTCTGAATAGCAGTTTAAATTGAATACTTTGTTTGCAAAACATAACTGGAAAACCAGAAGAATTTTATTTCCCACAAAACATTTTCAAAATGGTGATAATCAGAACTTTGTACCAAAGCACTTCTTCAGCCTGAGCTTGAAGGCTAATCAGCTGGTATCGAGTACACTTGTGTTGGCTGAATTTGTTCTATATTGAGGAGGCACAAATGCGGATACAAAAGTAGGAAGAGGTGGAAATACCACTGAGCACCAGTGCCTTTGTGGGAAAGCGAGAAGCTGTGAAGTGATATAAAAATTCAAAGACAAATTATGTCATTAGTAATTGAATGGTCGAAGTAAGCCAAACACAAAGATAAGCCTTAAAATACTTACTAATAAAAAGAGAGAGTACAAATTTCAGGAACAAAAAGTGTTCAGATATTTTTTGCCCTTTAAAAATGAGAGTTTTCCGAGAATACATGTCTTGGTGACGTGGGCCTGGATCCAAAGTGCTAAGTAGAGAACTCTCCTCTAGCCAGCCTCCAGAGCTTGCTTCTCTGTATAAGCAGAAGTCCATGGTGTTTAGGGCTGCTTTTAAACCAGTTCCTTTTCACTTGGTGTGTTTTTTTTTTTTCATCTGGGGTAATTTATCTGCTTCTTGACTTTGGAACAGATGGGAGGCTTTCAGGACTCGGTCACAACCTCATTTCAGACACTGCAATACACCAGCCTGCACATATTCCACTCCAAGTGTCTCTGTAAGCTTGAAATAGAGTGAGTTGGTCACTTTTCATGTCATGTGAATTGAATTACATACAACTCTCAAGAATGGTCACATTGCTGCTGCGTCTGTCTTTCAAATACAAATGTCCTTGTCAGCTTTAGCATTCTTGTGCTTTTGATGAAACTACCCTTGATTGGTTTAGTACAACTGGGATAAGACTGAGCAGAAACAATTATCTAAGTACAACTTAATTTTCAGAATCAGTATCAAGACTATAGGAGGGCAAAAAAATCCTCAGTCTATTTATGCTAACTACAACTTAAGACTACATTAACATGACATTTTTGGAAATAGTAAGCAGCAGTGTTTAGTCTTCATAAGGAATAGTAACTTCTACTCCTGACCAATATACAGAGAAGGCAAATATATTCTGTCTTTAATACAAGCATGGACAGTGTTACATGATGGTGGGGGAAGTAACTGCTTGTACCTTAGCTTCTTTCAATGCAAAAAACAGTGATGTTTAGACCCTGAATAACATGACACAGGGAGATGGCTAGTATAGACACAGATCAGCAAGCCAGTTTGAAGGACTGCTGATAACTCGTATCAGTACTGACTAAATTTCCTCATCTAGTACCAGAGTTTTGCCATTTACATTCTGCGTAATACTGCTCACAGCGCTTCCAGACTACTGCACATGCTACCCAGCTTTAAAATGAAATACAGCCTCTGTCCTGGCAAGGGAAGCATTATCCGTGAAGGTCACTCAGATACTTACATCCCTGACGTGACTTCCTGGGCCTTGTGGGCGTTGGGGCTTGGGTTTCAGCTGTTTAATCCCTGTTGGGGCTGCAAGACTAAATCTGCAGAAAAGGTTACACTTTAGAAAGTGCCCTATGTATCATTTGCCAGTCACACAAAGCAGAAGGTAACTTGTTTAATGCAGGCAGTCTTGACGTACTGATGATTTTTCAGTCTGGCACACCAGAATTCCAGATTATTATTATTTTTTTTTTTTTAAAGGAAATATGGGATTTTTCATCTCTTCTGTGTATCATTATGTCCAAGTGGAAATACAAGTCAAAAGTAAAACAAGAATATTTGTAAAACTGCAAAACTGAGAGCTGTGCCTTTATTTTCAAAAAGATTGCATCTTTTCAATATATGTTTATTTTCTCATAGCTGGAAGTTTTTAAAAACAGTGTAGTTTTTATGAAAGTCTATATATTTGGACTATCATGTAATCCACTTATCACTGATTACTAGTTGCTCCGTTAAATAAGTTTTCATTTTGAAATACCATTTCTACTTCACAGGGCTGTGAGGTAACTTGAAAAAAAAAAAGTGATCTAAAGAAAAGAGGAAGATGTCCAAAAGCCTAATGTTAACTTGTTAGTCTAGTAATGCCAGTTTAATAGCTCAATAATCAGCCTCTCACTTCATCACAAACACTGTACTGATCCTTGAACATTTCTCTCAGAAACCCCAACTACTACCATTTCGCTGCCTTCTTTCCCCTTCTTCTCACCTCCACTCATCTCTCAGTTGTCAGTGAAACCCAAAACTTCCCACCAAGTATATCTGGACAAGAACAGGAAGGAGGGGAGGAGGGGGGAGGGGAAGGTACGTACTGGAAAAGTATCACAAGACCTTGTCAGGGTCAGGTCTTCCTTTGCACTGAACCATGTCATTTTAAGGTCATTCCTCTTCTTCCTATAGCACAAAGGAAAATGAACAGAGCTGTAAGGAAGTATATGGTATTGTTGATTAAGTCTGCATGCCTTTTCAGCTTGCTTTCCCTGAAAATTGGAAGGAGGATACCCATGCATTTGCTACCTCTGGTTTCCCAATTCCTATCCATGTTTATCACTCCTTTGGCATCTCAGCAATGCATAAAGGTAAGGGGACATAAAAGTGGCTCTCACTTTTACACACTAAAATCTGCTCACATAAGAACTCTGTAAGTTTCTGGACCTCCAAATGTTTCAGAATTTTAATTAATTTCTGCTGAATGTGCATTGCACTTAAAAAGTGAGGCTGGAAGTTTCTTAAGAGGAAAATATTCTAGCTGTAATGCTGTTTATTATATAGAACTTCCTCCTATCTAGCTTACATGAGACAAATGCTTTCTGTAAATGATATCATTTTAGCAGCAAAGCAGTCTTTTTAATAGAAGTGTGCAATCCTCTTGCTAAAGGTATCTCACTAAAGGACTCGCACCATCATTAGGCAAGCCCAGGCTTGTTCTCAGGACTGGAGTCTGCATCAGAAATTCTGACTTTACTACTTGTTTACTACTATTCATGTTCAGTTGTGATATTCATTAAAAATCTGTTGAACAGGGAGCCAATTACTGAGTGGACTGAGGGCACACGCTGTTGGAAGAGTTTTGTACCATTCAGGTAAATAGGCTGAGGGCACATCTCACCAGGAAAATTAAATAGTAGTAGTAAACTTACATCAAGCAGGCAACCCAAATGACCAAAATACCAATCAAGTGTTTAGGACCTTCATTAACAGCCAGAAAATCAACTGCTGAATACTTGAGGGTTCTGTTATGATGCAGTCAGCACAATCACTGCCGTATGTGGAAAAGGGACCATTAAACTGAACAGGGATAAACAGAACTATAAGAATGCAGTGGATTTGTCTTCAGATCTCCAACAGCTCTTCTTGATACTAATTGCCATGTGTCATACAATGAGGAAGGATGAACACAGCAGTTGCTTTCCAATGTATCTGGCAACCAGGTGTTTAAGCCAGTTGCCACATTGCCTATAGCAGCCAGGTTTTTTGAGGCAATCACATGGCTCAACTTCATTTCTGCATCAACTTAGACACAGCTTTGTACTGCTGTAAGCTCTTAGAATGTAGAACTATGCCAATTATGTTGGATTAAGTGTTTGTACGTAGTCAGCAAACCCATTCTTCTCTGATAATAAATTTCCCTTCTAGCTTTAGTTTTTCCACCTGTAAACTTTAAGGACTGGAAGAGCACTCTGTTGAAAAATAAACAAACATATGCATGGAAATATTTGTTTTACTGAAAAAGATTAAGATAAAAAAGTTATTGAATACCTGCGGAACATTATATGTGAAATTTTTAAGACCAGTAGGAACGGAAATTTCTTGATAGCCAGAACGAAGGTATATTCCATGTACTGAGAGGAATCTTCTCCACAAAGACTGATAGTATCACGTCTCGTAGTCTAGATTTAAGAGAGTTGAACAACCTAAAGATTTTTTATTTAAGAACAGCAAGCCTAAAATTTTCTAATTCTACCTTGCTATTCCCTGTGATAACTTCATTTGAGTTCCTCAGGGAACCATTTTTGTGGTTGCTGTCAACATAAACATATATAGATTACTTTAACTTCCCCACATTCCTACAATTCTCTGCTTTTCCCATGACCCCATTTCCACTTGCACTTCCAAGATCATGACCCCCACTTTGGGAATAACATTTGCTCAAAGATATATTCTGCCAACCAAAGCACTACCCAAACAAATGAGCTATGTGTTGAGCAAAACCACATGACCGGGAAGAAGGGATCTGAAATAACATTCATAGCTCCAAAACCATTTCCCTCTGAGGGTAAATGATCTATGAATGTTCCCAGCTCTATTCTGTCAGGTTTCTCAACAGTGTATACATTATGCCACAAAACTATGTGTTGATATTCCTTATGTCATCTCCCTAAATCTAGTCTTCTACTTAATGATTAAAAAGTCCAAAACAGTTAACTTATTCAAAAGGTACATCAAAAGTTAGCTGTGAAAATTAGCCTGTGAAGTAAGGTTATATCCCCAATAAGTGTATTGAATTATTTCCTTCGTTATCCTATCCGAGCACCCTAAATGAAGCTGCTATACCTGCAGTTTTTCCCTGCAGTACATTTCTCTCATATTTACCAAGTCTAGATTTTTTTGTTCAGTTTCAAAACCACCAATGAACATTTTTCAAAATTCCAATTGAGAATCAAATCTTAAAGAGACTACAGAGTAGGGTAGCTGTCTTTTATTTGCTTTCCAGTCTGACGCTCAGAAATTTGCACTGAGAAGGCCCAAATGCTTCCTCTACTTACATTGATTAAAATTAGAGTGACTCCATTCATAGCAGAACAATAGAAAACTAGACCTGGCTTGAAGCCTTGGATCTTCATGTTTCAGCTACTCACAGGAGAAGAAGCCCTTGAAGTTAGTGGTCTTAGCATGGGGTCTGAGTTAAAGTAATTATAGAGTCAAAAAAATAAGGAAAACAACAAGAAAAGGACAACTTTGAGCTGAGTCAATGCTAAAAAAATAATAGGGTATTGAGTTGCAACATTTTAACAGCAGTTCCATGGGCACTGCAAGTGTGGTTGTTAAAATGGTTGTCCGCTTACATCTACTAGATGTGTGACCTGGAAACTGTCTGGACAGTAGAGTCCAGTAAAAAAACACTAAACCACTCTTATTCTGTTGCAGAAGGGTTGCACAATTCATTTGAGCAGGCTCAGGACAGGCACAGATAAATCATCTGGCAAGGCATCAAACTTTACAAGCAATCTTGTAAACAATTATTTTCAGAAATTGTTTTGTCCTGTGAGTAGCAGCAAAGGCTATTTTGCAATCAAAACCATTCAGCATTCCCTTCTTAGAAGTAGAATTTGAGAGAAACTTTTGATTTCAGAGGAAACCATGAGTTATTAACACCAGTGGCACCACATACACAAATGAACTGGTCAGTTGGACAGACATGCAGGCCTGTCTTGAGACTATTCAGTCAGCTGAGACTTCTCCCACAGATTGTTGTTATGAGTGAAAACAGACAAAACCCTCTGAAAATATTTCTAAAGCCAACTCAGTTAATCTATTTCCTAAATTTTATCTTGGAAGTAACCCCCTTGATCATTAGACAACAGTTTGCCTTTGGTGCTAGGAATGCCAACGATATTTTTGTCTGCATTAGGCAAAGTAATGGCAGTGGGTCAAAGAGGGGTGATCCTTCTTCTCTGCTAAGCACTGGTAAGGCCATATCTGGAGTGCTGCATCCAGTCCTGGGCCCTCCAGTACAAGACAGGCATGGAGCTACTAGAAAGAGTCCAGGGAAGGGACAGAAAAATGATGAAGGAACTGGAGCATCTCTCCTATGAGGAAAGACTGTGAGACTGCTCAGCCTAGAGAAAAAAGTCTCAAGAGACTCCCAAGGGAATCATATCAATGTATGTAAGTACCTGAAGGGAGGGTGCAAAGAGAATGGAACTAGACTCTTTTCAGAGGTGTTGAGTGGCAGGACAAGAAACAGTGTGCACAAACTGGAGCATGGGAGATTCCATCTGAACATAGGAAACACTTCTGTGCTGTGCAGTTGATGGAACACTGGCTCATATTGCCCAGAGAGGTTGTGGAATCTCATCCTTGAGATCTTCAAAAGCCAACTGGACACAGTCCTGTGGAACCTGCTCTTGATGGTTCTGCTGAAGTAGATGTGTTGAACATGATGACTTCCAGAGGTCCCCTCCAGACTGTGATTCTGTGAATTTCCAGCCAGATCAAGCTTTTTAAGTTTCTTGTCACTGGGCCTGGAGACCTCAGCACAGTCTGCTATTGATGCTGAATGACAAGATTTGCACCTGAACAGCTGAGCTACACAAAATACTCCTTGATATTAAATGGGTGGCCATGGTTAAAATAGACACAGTGTCAAAGATCAGTATCTCTTGCCTGGTCCAAAGAAGTGTTTTCTTTGTGACACCGCAAAGATTACTTGGGGAAATTTCTAGCTCTCCAATTGAAATATTGGACTCCTAAATAGAAACCACTGTCAGAGTCCAGGTTATCAAAGGTCACAGATGATGGTAGGCAAAGACAGGTAGACACTGGTGTGATTGTTTGAATGGACAGAGTGCAAAGTTCACTCATCAGAACATGACCGTCAGCAGATCTTTGCTTTCATCCTGCTTGATCTCCTAGGCAGACCTTATACGCATCAAAAGGATCACACAGAGGTACATCTGCTTTCCATCAGGAGAGAATGTGTGCCTTGAGAGCCTCAGCAAGAGCCACAACCACACCAAGGCAGAGAAGGTACTGAGCACACTTAGTGTTGTATCCCCTATTTTGATCCACCCTCAAGAGATTCACTCCAAGGAACAGAGGTCAGGGTTTTTAACATTCGATTTTTGTAACATAGGTCCCATTTTCCTTTTACGCTGCCAGTGTTATATCCTGATCATTTATAGTAGCTGCTATAAAAATGAGAAGAGTCAATCTCCTTTTATACCTCAGTTCTAACTGTACATGTTTCAGCAGGGATCCAAAAATGTATTAACTTTCTGATTGTTTATATTTTAGGTTTGGATTCAACTTCAAATTTCCTGTCTTTTCATTACCTGACACAGTAGATAGAATTCCTCTTCTTTTTCACTCTACCTGTGGCTGCTTTTCTGCTTGACACTGTATTACTCGCAGTGACCATGAGAGGAAATGAATCTTTCCTGGTGCACAGTGAAATCTGACTAACCAGTGCCAGTGTGAAATAAGTGATGAATGAAACATCAGCTAAAACACCTTGTTATGTATTTCTTGTATACAATTTAAAATACAAAGGCTGCTGCTAACAATTCAAGTGAAAAAAAAAAAAAAAAAAAAAAAAAAGTCATCACAAATGCATTTAATTATCTACTGATGTTTTCAATATGTTGCATATTTTAACAAGTGTGTATTCACAT